GCCCAGCACTTGTCTTGAGGTATTTTTACTTCTTGGAAAATTATGGTATTTTGTAATTTCATGTATAGGCACAAATTCTAGTAAAGGGCTATAATTAGGAAGGAAGAAGAAAAGCTATAGAAGTAGTAAATAGAAGAAAACATGAGAAGATTGATAAGTGTCAGACAGGGTTATTCTATTCAGTATTCCCCTATAACTCTCTTTCTCTAATTTTCCTATAAAACTCTTCATCACTAATTTCACTAGCATTATAAAAGAGGGGGGCTTTCCCACTTAGGTGGAGATGGGGTAGTCAGTGTTTAACTAGTTACCTGCAGGTTTTGGTATTCTATGCCTAGATTGCCATCTGGCCTCTGCATGTTCTATTCTTCAGGACCACTGTCCTGAAAAGCTTCTGGGAAGTTTATGTTCTCCTCCTTTCTGTGCTGCTTAGCAAAGGTTAGCTTAGCCCTTGGCAACAATGCAAGCAAAAGCAAAGCCAATAGTATAATGGAGAATGACAAATCAAGGTGGGTAATAGAGGGAGCCAGCTGCGAAGGCCCCTGCTTTGTGGGGTGTCTTCCTCCAGCCCGAGCTTTGCTACACAGCTTGAGTAGCATGGCTCCCAGCAAATATTCTTTCATTCTTAGAGATCCTTTTTTCTCTCTGTGCCTCAGCTTCTTTGTATTCTTCTTCTCTAGTTCCTGTTTCATTTATCATCTCCTCCACCATATCCAGTCTGCTTTTAATACCCTCCATTGTGCTCTTCAATGATTGGATCTCCAACTGGAATTCATTCCTGAGTTCTTGAATATCTTTCCATACCTCCATTAGCATGTTAATGATTTTTATTTTGAATTCCCTTTTAGGAAGAGTCATGTGGTCCATGTCATATTTCCTAGGGGTTATATTAATTTTACTCTGTACCAGTTTCCTTTGGCATGTCATATTTGTGTATGGCACCCTCTCATGTCCAGAAGCTCTACTCTCCCTTATGCAATGTCAGGGGTCACAGGAGAGTGGGATTGGTGCCTGGGGGGAGGAAAGAGCTGTTTCCTGCTTCCCGGCTGCTATGCCTGTCTCCACTGCCTGAACCAGTGGGCCGAGCACACAGGTATAAGCTGTTGTCCCAGAGCAGCCCGATATGGATCCCTGCTTTCCACAAGCAGCTGGAATCTCAGTCTCTCCAGGAATTCTGCCTGTCTTAACTTTCCAACCCTGTAATCATGAGAGTATCATGAAAGAACAATGAAATGTAGGTTTGGCTCCCAGAGCAGATCTCTGGAGTTAGGTATTCTGTAGTCCCAGGCCTCCACTCCCTCCCTTCTCAGTTTCTCTTCCTCTCACTAGTGAGCAGGGGTGGTGGAAGGGTTTGGGTCTTGCCAGGCCACAACTTTGGTACATTACCCTATTCCGTGAGGTCTGCTCTTTTCTCCAGGTGTATGGAGTCTGGCACAGTCCTCTTTCCTGTTGCTCTCTCAGGATTAGTTGTATTAATTATATTTTTGTATTATATGTGATATTAGGAGGAAGTCTCTGTCTCACCTCTCACGCCGCCATCTTTAATCTCGCTTCTCTGCCCGTTTTTTAATTGGAGTGTCTTTTTGATAGTGAGTTGTATGAGTATTTTATATGTTTTGGATGTTAACCCCAAATTGAGTGTGTGTATGCATACATTTTCCACTATTCAGTATGTTATTCTTCTCTATGGCTGATAGTCCTTTGCCATACAAAGTGTTTAGTTTGATGTAGTCCCATTTGTTTATTTTAGCTTTTGTTGTCCTTGACTGAGGCAGGAGATCAAAAAATATTGCTAAGCCCAGAGTCAAAAAGCTTGCTGCCCATATGTTCTTCTAGGAATTGAATGGTTTCAGGTCTTACATTTAAGTCTTTAAATCATTTTGAGTTTATTTCTGTATACATTTTAGGAAAGTGGTCCTCCTTTTGATGTAACTGCCCAGTGTAATCCACACCACTTACTGAAGAGACTTTTACCCATTATATATTCTTACCTCCTCTGTCATAGATTAACTAACCATATAAGTGTGGGTTTAATTCTGGGCTCTTTATTTTGTTCCATTGATAAAAGGAACTGTTTCTGTGCCAATACCATAGTGTTTTGATTACCATAGCTTTGTAGTACAATTAGAAATTGGAGAGCATAATACTTCCAGCTTTGTTTCTTGATATTGCTTTGGTTGGGAACTTTTGAGGTTCCACAGACATTTGGGGATTATTTTTCCTAGTTGTGTGTAAAATGTGATTGGTAATTTTTTTCAGAATTCTAGCCTTTATTCTTTTAATATTCTTTTTATCAGTGAATGGGATAAGTTGGTATAGTCTTCAAATTATAAAATAATTTAGTCACAGAGATGGAAATATAGCATAGATAATGTAGCTTATAACACTGTAATATCTTCTTATGCTATGAGTACTTTGACAGAGATTGTATTGAATCTGTAGATTGCTTTGCATATTGTGGACATTGTAACAATATTAATTCTTCCAATCCATGAGTGTGGTTTATGTTTCCACTTGTGTAGTTTTCAGTTTCTTTCATCAATATTTTATGATTTTGAGCACATAGTTCTTTTACTTCTGTGGTTAACTTGATTCCCAAGTATTTTATTCTTTCGATGCATTTGTAAGTACGAATGATTTTGTAATTTCTTTTTCTTGTAATTCATTATTAGTGTATAGGAACACAGCAGACTTTTGAATATTGCTTTTGTATCCTGCACCTTTATTGAGTTAATTCATTACTTCTAATAGTTTTTTCAATGAATGCTTTAGAATTTTCTGTATATAATATCAAGCCATCTGCAGATAGTGACAGTTTTACTACTTCCTTTCCAATTTGGGTATCTTGTATTTTTCTTGCCTAATTGCAATGGCCAAGACTTTGAGTATAATGTTGAACAAAAGTGGCAAGAGAGGGTATCCTTAACTTGTTCCTGTCCTCAGAGGAAAAGCTTTCAACTTGCACTGTTGAGTATGATATCTGCTGGTTTGTCATATACAGCTGTTTTTATGTTTAGGTATGTTAATATCCACTTTGTTTTGAATTTTTATCATAAATGGATGTTGAAATTGTCAAATAATTTTTCTGCATCTGTTGAGATTTTCATTTGATTTTATTCTTCATTTTGTTAATGTGATGTGTCTAATTGATTACTTGTGGGTATTGAACTATCCCCACAGTAAATCCCACTTGATCATGATACCTGACTCTTTTGTTGTACTGTTGAAGTTCCCCTGTCCGGTCTCAGCTTATATGTGACCTCTTAGAAATGGCCTCCTTTAGCCTGGTCCTCCTGCCCATCATGAATTGCTATCTCAGTGCCCTGTTTAGTGACTTGATGTAACTTGTTACAACTGGAGTCTGTCTTCTTTATCTGTTTTCTTACTTTGTTAACTTTGGTCTTCTTTCCCTGCTGAAGACTGGTTTTGCACGATTGTATCCCCAAGGCCTGGCACAGCAGTAGCATAGCAAAAGAAATGAACTTTATTTTGAATATTTCAATATAATGAATTCTACAAAATACATACTTGGTCATTCAGTAACCCAAATATATAATTCCAAGGTATATTTCTTCCTCTTCCACATTTTCTGAAAACACTGCAGAGCCTTAAAGGTGAAGTGTGTGTCTTGTCATGTTAACAAGAGACTTTTGGACCCCACCCAATGGCAGGGGGTGGAAGTTGAATCAGCAAATGGGCAAAGATACAGTCAATCATGACTATATAATAAAGCCCTCAGCAACATTCATGAGATGAGTATCTCTGTCTCTCAGATCCTCCCTCTCTGTTAGAGAGAGCTTCCACACTTGGAGAACCAAAAAATGTCCATGTGTAACAAAGCCAATCCCCAGTCCCCAAGCTCCACAAGGATAGAAGATCCTTTATTTTTGAGCTTGTCCTGGGCAAGTGGTACCTATACAAATAGATATCACAGTGATGCACTAAGAATGCAGAAGAGATGTTGCCATGCTACATAAAAGACATCAGGGATTTTCCGTCAACTATGGAAGGCCCTTTGCATGGAACACAAAGCCATCAATGACCTGTCTTCTGCATAACCCTTCTGCCTTACTTTGCCTCTCTTTCTTTGAACTTTATGCTCTAGCATTTTTGAACCAGTAGTATTTCTTTGTATGTACTGTGTTATCTCCTGCTTCTCTGCCTTTGATTACATTATCTCTCTCCTTCTGATGCTCTCCCTGTCCCTCTTCTTCTTGGGTAATTCTTACTAATTCTATAAAACTCTTGCTGTGATTACCTTATGCAAAGGCTCCCCTTCTCTCATCTGTACTCTCTTAATGCCTTGTGAGCTCCTTGAGTTCAAAGATTGTGTATTAATACTTAAGCATACTGTAGCTACCTAAACGTTTGTTTTTAAAAAATCAAATGATGTGAATGTTTACATAGACTTTTGAACTTAGTTGCTGCTTCTCCTCTTAACTGATTTCTCTCTTCTGCATCTATTGCCCTTTGGCAACTGTAGTCTTTTGTCGTTAAGCCACTCAGGTCTACCATACCTTCTTACCCTGAAGTTCACTCAGCTCACTAGATGCATCATCTTTTCATTTAATACTGACAATATGCATTTCACATTTGAATTTTATCACCCCTACTTTTACTGTATCTGGGTCTTTTCCTTACATGTTATGAACTTTTTGAAGGAGGAGATATTTTTAGTTTACCATCATTGGCTAACATAATGCAAAAGGATTAAATTAATAGAACTTTTGGATGTTCACTCACAGTGACATTTGTGGATGTAGAAAAGTACATTCATAATGGTCAAGGAAGCTCTGATGTGTCTTTGAAACTCAGAATTCTACAAAGTTACACAGATAACTTCGTATTTTATTTTCCTTTCAGTGCCAATTTTTTCTTTTTAGTGTTCATTGGTTTAAAATATTTGCTTTCTATTGTTTATTCTAGGAAAAATATCATCAGCATTTTAGTAGTTTCAGGGATCAGAACTATTTTTTCATTGGAGATCTTTAACCTTAAAGGTAAAAATAGATGCAATACAGCTGTTCTCTTTCTAACGCCATCTTCTCCAGGACCCAGGAACCTGGCTCAAAATGATGGGGGAAATCCAGGTGAGCAGACCCTTAAGTATACTTATATTATTATTTTGGTTGCAAGCTAGCAGTCACATCACCATGGTGGATTTTTTTTCAACACGAGAGAAAGTTGTTTATTTATTCATTGTGACAGAAATTTTTTAAAATTTAGTTTTTATTGTAAAAACAAGCATATGGAAAACCTTAGATGTATGGAAAATGTCTTTGTGTTACTTTAGATCATCTCCTGAACTCTGTCAGTGTGTATCCTTGCATTTATATAGTCTTAGCTGGTAAATATCGGCTCTGTTGGCTTAACAGACAGGTCTTCATATACCAACATTGCATGCATACTTGTACTGTGGGCTGATGAATGAGTTTTAATTATGCAATGGTTATCTTAAACTCTTTTTTTTAAATATATAGGTTACCTTGGAGGGAGAAAACCAATAAGGGCCTTGAGTTAACTAATGATCCTGAGAATTTATCTTTGGGAAATTATTAAATAGAAGATAAAAGCTACATGCAATTTACCACTCTCAGTGAAAATTGGAAACAAAACAGCCTGTCTTAAGTTGCATGGTTAAGAATATGATGATATTGATCAATAAATAGGAGAGATGCCCTCACAAAAAAAGAAAAAAAAAGTACACACTTCCAATTGTAAAATAAATAAGTAACCGGGATGTAATGTATAGCATAAGGAGTATAGTCAAAATATTTTAACAACTTGGTATGGTGATAGCTGGTACCTAGAATTATCATATATATAAATGTTGAATCACTGTGTTGTACACCTGAAACTAATGTAATACTGTGTCAACTACCCTTCAATAAAAAATAATTATCTACAAAAAAAAAAAGG